CAGGCGTCAGGGTCGGGATCGTACCCACGACCTCCTGTATACCAGGCGAGGTAGTTAACATCTCCTAGCCACCGTGATGAGGATGAGAGAGAGACACGCAAACTCAAAATATACAGCAGACGTCAGGGTCGGGATCGAACCCACGACCTTCCGAACGCCAGGCGAGGTAGTTAACATCTCCTAGCCACCGTGATGATGAGAGAGACATGCAAACTCCAAATATACAACAGGCGTCAGGGTCGGGATCATACCCACGACCTTCCGTACGCCAGGCGAGGTAGTCAACATCTCGCCACCTCATGTCTCTGGATTGGCTGGGACAGCCGCAGTGAGGTTCGAAAAGTCTGTCCTGGTGTCCACCCCGTGAAGGAATTATATTTGTTCTTACGACTAAAAAAAAATCGTCAAGATTTTCCCCCAATTTTCAAAAAATTGTTCTGCTCTCACTCTCAACTCGGGATGCTTGCCGACCGATGTAGTCTTTGGCAGCTGTGCGTTCCGCAGATCCACGTGTGGAACGCACGCCTGCGAATAGCTTCCAGTAGACTGAAGTCATGTACCTGATGCCAGGAGACTCAAATTGTATGGAAGCAGGGTGTTGAGAGCGAGGTAGGCAGGGCCTCTGAGCAGCGGGCAGGTTCCACCCGCTGTGTGGGCGGTGCTAGGGGTGGAGTAGGCGTGTCTATGTAATAAGTGGGTGGAGCTGAAGGAGGAAGGGGAGGGGGAAGTTGAGCGTCCCGGAGATTTGGCAGCCTTAGATTGTTTGATTCTGACAATCTGAAGACGGTACTAGCCAGAGGACTAAATTTCGCTGTCACCCCTAAATAGATACCAGTAGAGGATGTGATTTCTCAGATTGATGTAGCCCTCAGGAGGCATAGGACACATCCATGCGGATGTAGCAAGAGCTGAAATAGCCACTATTCTTAAGAATGCTAAGGTGATTTTATTTTTATTTTATTTGACTTTTATTCATTTGAATTTTTTACCTACGTGACTTTACCAAAAAAACCTAAGAATATGAATCCTTGCAGTCACGAAAGCTTCAAATCTAGAATGTTTGATTCTATTTGTTTATTACGGGTTACAAAGATTTAGAATAAATAACAAATCTACTATTTAATTGAACAGTGACCCCAGCCTCGCGTCATGATCATTGAATGGCAGATGATCATTCAATGCAAGATGTTAACTGCCTCGCATGTTTTGCAGGAGGTCGTGGGTTCGATTCAGACCCTGACGTTTGCTGTATATTTTGCATGTCCCTCCACATTTCCAATCAACGTCACACCTTCAGAGTATCTGGCTGCTATAAATGTCCACGCGATGATGAGAAGCCACTTCGTGGAGCAATCATTTGTGGCCAGGTCACATCTGAAAGAGCCGTTTCGCTCAGTGGGCCTTACCGGGTAATATAAACAGTTTAGTTGAGCAACATGGCTTTCACATCTACCCGCAGCACAACTCTTGCGCGTCGAGACTTTGAGGTCGTTGCCAATTCCCGCACCCATCACCGCCGGCTGCTTGGCAATAAACATCAGAATACGCGGACGGTCTCTCCCCAGCCGGTTATTTCACTTTCAGTCCCATCGCACACAGTGGATCGCTTCTTCTTTTTAACATTCGCAGCAGAAGCGGCGCGAGTCTTGCGAAAGTCTCTGCCTCTCGTTACTTTGCTGCCACGACCAAATCACTCCCCCCCCCCCCCCCCCCACCACCGAATGCATCTGATACTCGCAAGCTAAGCAGGGAGGGGGAGCCTGGAAAGAACTTCCTTGGATGGGTGACTCCCACTGTGCAAAACGGGTGCTATAGACCCCCCCCCCCACCCGTTAGCGGTGCAGTAAAATCCACTGTTGTACTGAACCTCTATGATCCCCCAATGTCCGTGGATGCTTCCCTCCGGGTTACTCCGGTTTGTCACCTCCGCATTTAGAATCAACATAAAACGCGTTTGGAGTGTTTGTCTGCCGCTATAAATGCCCACGCGGTGGCGATAAGCCCACTTCGTTGAGCTACGTAGCGCAGCTGGGCATTACCTGGTAAGATAAAACAAAACTATAGAGGGTACCGGAACACCCACGTTCACCATCAGATCAAACTAGGAGAGGGTGGGGGTGAGGGTGGGGGCCCCCCTCTGCACCCCACTCCCCCCCCGTGCCCCCCTCCCCCACCACCCATTTTTTCGAGCTAGAAATCATAAAAATCTCAGCTACTTTTTTCCCCCACGTGGCCTCCTCTTCACGCCCCGTTCGCCACTCATCCTCTTCCCCCGCTCACCCCCTCCCCGCACTGCGCGCGTGAATTCAGCCGCGCAACAGAAGCAGCTTAGCCAACACGGCCGCGCCTCCACGCACGCACAGAGCGGCAGCAGCCGCCGCCGCTGCCTCCGAGCCAAGGGCAGACTTGGCGTCCGCGTGAGTCGGCCAGGAGCATGAGGAGAAACAGGGTGGCACGATGACGCAACAACCCCGCGGCTACCGCGCCACCAGCAGCCTCTCCCGCCGCGTGCACCCTACGGGCGAGTCGTCCCCCCCCCCCCACGCCCCCCCACCCCGAGTCACGAAGCCGCCGCGGTGTCACGCGGCCGCGATGAGAGACTGGGGGGGGGGGGGGGGACTCGCGCCGCATGAACTTGCCGCTCTCCCACCATTGGAACCTCATTTGCCAGTAAAAAATATGATAATTGGTTTTTTACCCTTCTATCTGGCAACAAAACTGACACTTTTTTTACAAGGAGTCATGTTTGCATAGACCACAATACCTGCAGTCATAATGCAAACAAAAAACATAACTCTGATAATGTATGCACTGTCCTTGAAGTTGATTGGTCCACACCCGAGACAACTTTCCTTAGAGCCTAGTATCACATGGTGTTGGACTGCAGGTATTGCGGTCTATGCAAACATGACTCCTTATAAAAAAGGTGTCAGTTTTGTTGCCAGATAGAAGGGTAAAAAACCAATTATCATATCATTATCAAGGTTATGTTTTTTGTTTGCGGCTCTCCGTCAAGCCAAGCATCGTTTTTTTTTTGCGCCACGGGCTTTGGCCTCTCTCCTCACTCTCTGGTTGTTCTGCGACAGCCACTTTAGTGCCGAGCGCACAGGAGGTAAGGGAGCGGGGGGGGGTTGGAGACCAGGTTTGGTGGTGGAGGGGTTCGTGAAACGGCCGTGGCAGAGACACCGAGCCATGGCACCCTTAACCGGCACTGCCCAGGGTTTCCCGGGTTCGAATCCGAGGTTCCGAGGTCACTCGTCATTAAACTTTGTGGGCTCGCGCAGATACCAAAGGAGGAAGATTCACGCAGACCCAACTGCAACGGCGTTGACGAAGGTACGGGGGGTGGGGGGGGGGTGAAGGGGGGTGGATGTCGCCGCGCAGGTGCGCCGACCAGAAAAAAAGGTAAACGAAATCCATCCGATTTCGATTTAAAGCTTTCGTGACTGCAGGGATTCATCTTCATGGTTCTTTCGGTAAAGTCACGTAGAAGGGAAGTAATAAAATAATAAAAGTAAAACATAATAAAATACAATTCTCACGACGTTTCGGCCACAACGCAAGCAGCATTCTTCACCCGAGGACGGCTGCTTGCGTTGTGGCCGAAACGTCGTGAGAATTATTTTATTATGTTTTATTTTTATTCTTTTATTACTTCCCTTCTACGTGACTTTACCGAAAGAACCAAGAAGAGAAATCCATCCGGTTTGAAGCTTTCGAGACTGCAACATTTTTTTCCTCACCTGATACAGCAAATCTGGCTGTGACGGTCCCACCTGATGACGGAGACTTGTGTTGCCTCCGAAACGCCGTGATTTATTATTTTATTTCTATTATTTATTTAAATTTTTTTTTTTACCTACGTGACTTTACCGAAAAAACCAAAGAGTTTGATATCCATCCGGGTCAACGCGCACGCACGCACACACGCGCGCACGCACGCACGGTGCTCAACGACCGCTGCAACGAAGAGGGGCCTTCGCTTGCACCGGCGACTTAATCGGCCCCCCCCCCCCCCCCCCCCCCCCCCGTGTTTTTCCCACCACAGACGCATTATTTTAGTTAATTTACTGACCAGAATTCGATCTTGTAACCTTCCAACGTTTGAGTCTGGCACTCTCTCCACAGTGCTTTCAAGCGAAGTTACCTTTCATATACACATATATATACATGTGTAGCGAGTTCAACTGAGTTGCAGACGTACTCTTTGGAGGCAACACATTTATTGATACCAACACAAAGGGGTAACTTGCCCCTTGACCAGATCACATCCTATGGTGGTGGACCACCCGGCTAACTACACCAATCACACTGGGAGTAGCGACAACGGACAGGACCCCAACTTGGGTACAGGTCCACGTGTTGGCGATTCTTCTCGGACGTAGACGTAGATTTCTTCAGGATGAACCACAGCAGCCGGTCCCCTCTCGGGGACCCGGCTTCTATCTTCGTCCGTGGCGTGGCCGGCTCCGCCCTTAGCCACGACCACCTCCGAGAACCCTCGAGCAAGACATCGGCCCTGACACGTGACCACCCCTAGCTCCCACCTGGGGGCCCTGTGTAGACTTTACCGGTCACGTGTCCTTCGGGGTCATCCAGAGTGCCATGGCCCTTAGTGACCCCATTCCCACGGCCGGCACTCTCACACCCTATCCTGTAGGGGTCGGCACTGCACGCAGAGCGTGGGGCCATCATCCAGCGCTGCCAGTCAGTGCTCACCGAGCCTCTCTAGGGGCGGCATTACACGGTGACATCCGCGATGCCACTACACATGGAAGATGCCATGCTGTCATTGTTAGCGCTCACAGTGTGGAGAGTTGAAACCACAGCAGCGCACGCCTCTTAAAGTCCCCCCCACCCCCTCCCCACCTCCCCACCTCCCCACTCACCCGTCACACCCACCCGCCCCTCCACCTCCGCACCCACCCCTCCCCACTTAACCCACCCACCCCCTCCCCACCCGCCCCACCAGCCCACGACAGTTCACACACACACCTCACCTCTTTGCTGTCGAACACGTGGACGAGGTAGTCGTCGGCGGTGACGCGGACGTACTTCTCCCTCCACTTCTTGCCGTCCTCGAGCATCAGCAGGGAGCCATCGCCGACCGGCCGCTCCTTAATCGCTTGCTGCATGACGCACGAGGAGCACAAACGCAAAGGGGTGGGGGGGGGGGCTCTGGTTATGCACACGCACCAAGCGCTCGCCCGCAGATGAACCGCGACGCCCCCAAAGCCGACCACGTCGAAAAGAACGTAAACCACTAAAAAAATCGCCACTCGAAAAAACTCCAGTCCCATCTTCGCCAGCAGCAGCTTTTTTAAAATCCTTTATATTAAGTTCACTTGCTTGCGTGCTTGCTTGCTTACGACCGTGCAAATCTTTCGGTCGTTTTTTAACCCACTTCCCGTGATCCAATCGAGCTGACATTTTCCACAGACTCGTTGTGCGTGACAATGTATTTTCTTGAAAAAAAATCCAAAATTTTACACTTTTTAGGAAAAAATAAATACATTTAATTACCAATTGCTTAATGGTGGCAGGCATTCATCTGACCCATAGGTGGCAGCCATCTCAAGCCAGAGGACGAGAGGACTCTAGCCGCCATGCATATAAAGAATTTAAAGTGAAAAACTTTGTTTTTACGGGTAATTTTTTTTTTTCGGCTGCCCGTCGGACAAAGGCGGTCGCCGCGTCGCACGGCGCTTTCAGATGCGCTTCCGCAGCCGTCCGGAAACGCTCTTCCTTCCGATATTCGCAAGCCACTGGGAGCTGCGCACTTTAAAAAAATCACCGTCTAGACTGACAATCTCACTTCTTTAGAACTGCTCGTTGTCCTTCGACCCGCACCTCCGATTATCACGGCTGGCTACTACAGCGCGAAGTTCAACGCACGCGCGCACTGGGCAAACTCCGCTCGCCCGTTGCAGGACTCCGCACTGGAACGCTTTCTGGGGGTAAGCGCTGGGGCTGGGGAAAAGGTAAAGGAGCAGCCCTGCAATAGCCACAGCTCACACCACCACAAGGAGATATCCACTTGCCAGATGAAGGCCTCGCCCAAGCAGTCACCAAAGATCCCCCGTGTAGCCTTAAGACTGCTGGGGCAAGTGCTGTTAACGAACAGCACCTATGAAGGCCGGCACGGCACACGAGGGGGATGGGTGTCCATCGCTACGCCCGACCGCCTTTGCCTTCCAACTGGCCATGTTTTAGGCCGAGTCGACCTAGGGGAGGCCCAGGACCGGTTCAGATAATCAACACTGTTGTTCGCCAACTCGGGTTCACCTGGTTTGTTGCGCACTGCGCTAACTACTGCGCCACCGCTCCTCACGCTCACACTCGTGCACACACACGCGCAACAACAGCTGTCATTCGCCAATAAGTGGTGGTGACGTCACCACGGCACTTGTGCCAGGCCTTTGAGGCTTTGAGGCCACGTGAAGTGTCGAAGGCTCCGCTGACAGATCCAGGTGGTGCCATGGGTTGGCCGACTGAGATGACTGGCAGATATACCAAGCTGTGCTCCAACTACGGTGCCAACTTGCTTGCACACACAGGCACACAAAGACAAAGATCCCCCATATAGCCTTAACAGACTGAAGGGGCAAGTGCTGTTAGCGAGCACCTATGAAGGCCGGCACAACACATGAGGGGGTGGGTGGCCAGCACCACGCCCGACCGCCTTTATCTCCCCAGTTGCGATGTTTACACACAGCAACAAGTACTCATTTGAGGCCGAGTCGACCTAGATGGAGGCCCAGGACCGGTTCAGATAATTGTCACCTGGTATTGACTGAGCGGGAATCGAACTCAGGTGGCCGGGTTCGTAGCGTAGCGCGCTAACCGCCATGCTACCGTCCCCCCCACAGGCAACAGCAACAACAACAACAACCGCCATTCGCCACTAAGTGGCGGTGACATCACCACGACGCTTGTGCCAGGCCATGTGCACCTTGAGGCCACGTGAAGTGTTGAACGCCTGCTGGCAGGAGGAGATTGAATCTTCACCCTCGGGGCTCCTCCAGAAACAACGAAAAACCCCCACAGGCACACGCATGCACACACGCGTGCGTGTGCTTGTGGCCAGCTACCACCTCTCCTGCATCTCGTGGCGAAGGCAGCAACGGAAATAAATGAAATTTGAAAGCCACTTACTGCTGTAGTAATGAGCAATGTGTTGCGAGTCGGGCTCCATACTCTTTGGTTCTTTCGGTAAAGTCACGTAGTTAGAAATACATAGTTAGAAAAAAAAAACACATTTCTACCTACGTGACTTTACCGAAATAACCAAAGAGTATGGATTCCTGCAGTCACGAAAGCTTCAAATCAAGATCGGGCTCCATACTTGACCATACTTGACCACGTTTGGACAGCGCAGGTTGGTTGGGGCCAAGGACCGGGTTTAGCCGCGGCCAGGAATTGAACTCCGGGTTCAACCACAATTCCTGCTATGCCAGGAAATGATTGCACAACAACGACATTTCCCTTGTTTATCCAGGAAAGCCTCACCGAGTCTCAGGACTCTTGAAAAGGAGGTGGCGGTGAAGCCCATTGGCACTGCCGGGTGGACAGAGGTGGAACAAGGCGGGGCGGACGGTGGGGGCGAATTAAAGAAACCTGCACCGTTGCTTAAGCTGCCACGACGGGAGATTCAATATCTGCAATGCAGTCCAGCGGAGCTATAAAAAACTAAACTCTTTATTTTACCAGGTAAGGCCCATTGGACTATGAAGTTCTTTTCAAAAGCGGCCTGGCCACAAATGATACCAAGTGGCTTATCATCACGGTGTGGAAATCGATAGCAGCCAAATACTCAGAACGCGTGATCGTTGATTCGAAATGTGGGAGGGAAAAAACACCACCACGGGGAGAGGGAGAGACACGCAAACTCAAAATATACAGCAGGCGTCAGGGTACGGGATCGAACCCACGACCTCCTGCATACCAGGCGAGGTAGTTAACATCTCCTAGCCACCGTGATGATGATGAGAGAGAGAAAGAGAGACACCGCAAACTCCAAATATACAGCAGGCGTCAGGGTTGGGATCGAACCCACGACCTCCTGCATACCAGGCGAGGTAGTTAACATCTCCTAGCCACCGTGATGATGATGAGAGAGAGAAAGAGAGACACCGCAAACTCCAAATATACAGCAGCAGGCGTCAGGGTTGGGATGGAACCCACGACCTCCTGCATACCAGGCGAGGGAGTTAACATCTCCTAGCCACCGTGATGATGACAGAGAGAAAAAGAGAAACTCAAACTCCAAGTATACAGCAGGTATCAAGGGTTGCGGATCGAGCTAACGACTTCCTGCATACCAGGCGAGGTAGTTAACATCTCTCCACCACGGAGCCCCTAGCTGAACGATCAGCCAATCAAACAACGTAGCTAACGTCTGACCACGCCCCCCACGGCAAAGCCCCGCCCATTTCCTGCTTGGCTCCACCCCCGAGCCACCCACAGTGGGACTGTAGCGACCAAATCGCGAGGTTGCGCAAACCTACGGGGTAGAACCAACCGTTTGAGAGTCGAGTCTTTTGCGTCTCGCGTTAAACGGGCAACCAGTTTTCAACAACTTTGTTGCATGCAACTCAACCGGTTTCCTCCCTGGCCTGGACCACACCTATGTCTTGACACCTACGGCACCCCCTCCCCCCTCCCTCCCTCCCGACTAACAAAACCCCGACGGGCTCACTTGATCGGCCGAGGTCCGCTGGGTTTGTTTCCCACCAGCGCGAACAACAACAACAACCGCCAGCCAATCGTCCTCGGGGATGGAAACACGAAGCAGCAGCAGCAGGAGCAGCAGCAGCAGGAGCAGCAGCAGCAGGAGCAGCAGCAGCAGCAACAGCAGGAGCAGCAGCAGCAGCAGTGGAGGACATTCCAACATCTGTTTTTCGCCCGGGGGCCAAGGAGAGCGACCCAAACTCCGCGGGATTTTTTTCTCCCAACCAGTGGGGCCAGCTTTCCGCGAGGGAGCCAAGGCCGGATTATTGACGTGGTTATTGACGTGGTCGCGGCGCACGGTGGTGGGAGCAGGGGTGGAAGGAAAGCATGTCCAAGGGCGCAGGAGATAAACGAGGAAGACAAACCATGCAGACGCACGGACTCCGTCCCGCTTTTACGGTCGAGGGTTGTTGTTTTTTTCACGGCGCGCAGAGTTCCTGAGCACGCAGGCCCAAAGTGCCCAAGCGGCCAGCAACGAACAGCACCACCCGAAGGTGCAATAGTTCACAAGTAAGAATAATACTCTTAGGTTTTTTCGGTAAAGTCACGTAGGTAAAGAATAAGTTGCTCCAGTTGAGCGAAAGTTATTGCTTTAAGAACTTGGGCGAAAGAGATGACGGCAGGGAATTCCAAAGCGTTGTGACCTGCAGTGGCGAGTGAACGGGTTAGTGAGCGAGTTGAGCGAGTAAGGTGGTGAGCGAGTGAGTTAGTGAGTTGATGAGTAAGGGGGTAAGCGAGCGAGTTGATGAGCGAGTAAGGTGATAAGTGGGGAGTGGTGGCATAGCTGTTAGCGCGCTCCGCTACAAACCCAGCCGACCGAGTTAGATTCCCGCTCATGGCCAACATCGGTGACGATTATCCGAACCGGTCCTTGGCCTCCCCTAGGACAACTTAGCCTCAAAACGAGTAGTCAACATCGGCACTGGGGAGACAAAGGCGGCCGGGCGTGGTGCTGGCAACCCATCCTATCGTGTGCAGTGCTGGCTCTCATTTGGTGCCCCAACAGTCTGTTAAGTTGACATGGGGGATCTTAGCCTTTATTGCGACAAGCAGTGTGGTGGTGGTGGTTGAACGTGGTGGTGGTGGTGGTTGAACGTAGTGGTGGTGTTTCGATTTAAAGATTTCGTGACTGCAGGGATTCATCTTCTTGGTTCTTTCGGTAAAGTCACGTAGAAGGAAAATAATAAAAAATAAAACATAATAAATTAATTATCACGACGTTTCGGCCACAACGCAAGCAGCCGTCTTCAGGTGGCAGACCTGTTCTCCACTTGAAGACGGCTGCTTGCGTTGTGACCGGAACGTCGTGAGAATTATTTTATTATGTTTAATTTTTCATTATTTTATTATTTTCCTTCTATGTGACTTTACCGAAAGAACCACGAAGGTGGTGGTGGTG